AATATATAATATATATTCGGCTACTTGGAAACACATGTGTCACTTTTCCCATAAATTACAACAGCTACAGAGTTGAAATTTAGCTAGTACCTGCAAAAAGATAGATAGGTCCTCATTAAGGAGCCCGACTATTTATTTATTCATTTGCTGAATTTAAAAAAATGTATTTGACAAAATGTATCCGTCCCTCTTTGGCCTTTGTGATTATACCACTTAGACACGAAACAAATCTGCGTAGCTGTCCTTCATTGAGAAAGTGCCGGAAGAGATATTTTGCGACTCACATTTTGTTTTGAGAGTGTAGATCTTGACCTTCTAATTGTTTGCATCTCTCAAAATTTGAGAGAGAGAGTGAAAGTGAGGCAGACAAGCAGATAGATAGAAAGAGACAGAAAGAGAAATAGGAAAGATAATATAGAGAGAGGGACAATCAGGGGAACAACCAAACGGTTTTTTGTTCTTCTTTTCTCCTTCTTTTCCTGTTGAAATGAGCGTTTCACTCATTCACCACCTCCATCCTCACCCTTCCACCGTCCGTAAGTAAATAAAAGACCTGGCTGCTTTGTCACCATCGTCAGGGTCACATTTTCTAGGCAGAACCACACACTGGTAGTTTTCAGTCTAAGACAGAGTTTTAAGGCAGTTGCAACACAATTAGGTCAAATAATAGCCGAAGATTAGGAGTGTTGCTAAAGAGTAACATGTAAAGAAAAGAAGGAGGAGAGATAATGCCGACAGACAATCGATAGGATCCTAGGAAAGAAGTAAACCAGAGCGCATCCGCCTACCTTCCAACACGCTAGTAAATAATACTCTGGACATACTCGGGAGAATAGTTTCTTCAAGTGAGAACCGAAACGGCGTCTCTTTCCTGCAAGGAGAAGGGCTTACTTTCCACCACAAAATGACAAAGCACTCACCTTTAACAACAACAAAACATGAGGAGGGACATGCAACCCTACAGAGCTGGACATCCGCCGGTAGATTCTGTAGAAAAGTAAACAACGTACTTAAAAAACACCATAAACCAAAGAACCCCCCCCCCCCCACCAAGGAAACAAAAACCAAAAACAAAATGACTCATATTTTTTGTTTCAAAAGACGTGGGTTTTTTTCTAGTATAATAATATGAACTTATTCGAACATTGTGCCTCAATCTCAGTTCAATTATCCTTTTAGCAAAGGTTGAAGATTTTTAAAACTTATGTAGCACTTCAAGAGAACTAGACAAAACATTTTAAAAAATTAATGTAACTTATGGTTAGCTATAAAGTGTCCTCTTTTGTAGAACGGTGACGAGTTTAAACCTTTTGTATGTGAACCCCCCTCCCCATAAAGAACAAAAACAACTTTAAAAACCAAGAAAACAAGATCAAGAATAAGAAAAAGAGCAGACAAAATCGAAAGAAGAGGTGAGAAAAGAAGAAGAGGAAAACAACTTTGCACTTTTCTGTCAGGGCCCACCCTGCCTAACTTGAGCACATCTCAGGACAAAGACGTAGATTCCCGGATAAACATCTTCCCTGCACACAAGGGCACTTACACCTTTGGTGTGCATGGCAAAAACTTCGCGTTTTGTTCCTATGAGTGTTAGTTGTATTTTTCCACTACCCGGGTTTGGCACTCTTATTTGAGGGCCTAAGACCAGGAGAATGATAAGCCAACAAACGTACCACAGACGCTGGTATCCCCCTTAAGAACCCTTCTGTTTCGTTATCGGAGTACAATAACGGTCATTTAGAGCAAGGAAAAAGCAAAATAGACTGACAGAATCAACCAAAAAGAGGAAAAAGAAAGCAGGACATAACAGTGGCGTCTTTCAACAAGCCGCCTTTAATGTCTTTTAAACAACAACAGAAATTACAATAAAACAAGAAGTGTTACTAGAGAGCAACGATAGAAAAGTAGGAGGAGAAATAAAGACGGCAGAGGTTTGACAGGAGAAAATGAGCGAGTCACATAGGAACACCTGCTTGCCACTCACACACACCCGCCCACCCACCAACCACCCCCCCCCACCCAAACACACACAAAGTATAGAGTGCCACCCTGCACTCCACTGCCCCTCACCCACCTGTCCACCATGATGCCAGCGCGTATAGCGTGGGCCACGCTCCGGAACCGTGGTTTGTCCTCCCCCTTTCGTTTCATGTTGGACATAGACCGGGTGAAGGTCAAGGCCAGCCAGTCTCTGACCTCGCTGGGGACTGCATCCGGTTCGACCTCGCTCAGTTCATCATCTTCTTCACACAGACGTCTGAGGAAGGGAGAACGTGAGAAAATGTCAACAAATGGAATCTCAGACGTGCCCCTCTTACTTTGTACCATTATGTTTTTCCACTGATATTTCTATGGATCCATAATAATAGACACAAGAAATTTGTTTTTGTTTCTTTGGTTCTTCATTTAGTTGTTGTTGTTGATGATATTGTTGTTGCGGCCATGTGTGATTGAGGTAGTGGTTGGGGTGGGCGTCGATTTTTTTTTTATGGGAGAGGTTTTCATTTGGAGATGGAGTCTTGAACATAACGTGCTAAAGTGTATAGATAACACTTAGACATAAGTTAGAACTTGAAGTTTTTCCACAAGACCAGGGCCAAACTACATGCCTAAAAATAACTGTTGATCAAGAGAACATTTTAAAACACGATTAGAGTTAGGTGAAGTATTAAAGTTTATTCCTTGTTAAAAGTGGGAAATCGTCTACTCCATAATTTTTATTCTCAAACACAGGGATGGGAAGTTAAGCATAACAACAATAATGTCTCTGATTTTCAATCAGTCTATCATATAACAGAAGCTGCTGGTCAATACAGATTCTAGTTTAAGATGTCAGGAAATTATACGCATAGAACATGAAGAGACATAAAAGATGAGAGACGTCTTAAGAAAAGAAAAGTTAAAATGAATCAGACCATATGAATACTGTATCGTTGTGTAGAAAAATACTGCTAGGCCCCCTTCCCCGGAACTTATTCCTTATTTTTATGAACTGAAATATAATATACATTAAAATTTAGCAGGGTCAGTAATTCCGTCACACCTCACAAACGTGTTTAATGTCATGGGACGTAACCATGTATATGTGGCTACTATTTGGCATTTGCGAACCAAAAAATGTCAATTGCAGTGAGTGCAAGGGCATACATGTTCTGGACTTTGCTGCGTCGTCTGGAGTTTCTTCATAGTTTGTTGTCAGATTAAATCTGATGTAATAACGTCTTTCCCTTCCATACTGACTTAGGCCACGACTTCGCTCTTCCACTGGCTTACGTTCTGCTATGGTGTGTTCTCCGGCTCTAAAGTCGATCGCTGTTGAGGTCAGGGTCACTCTGATGGTTGTCTTTGTATAGCTGGATCAATTTGGTTAAAATGTGTAACACTTCAGATACACAATGATACTTGAGATTCTGTTTCAGTACAGAAATAATTCATTAAAAAAAAAGCATAATCTTCTTGTTTTAGATGAAAGTGTTAGTTAGCCTGCTCAAACATTTGCTATTGTTTTCTTTCTTTTAGAATAAAAGACAAACGTTTGCCGAGCGTAGACAAGGACAGCTAGCTAGGGAAATAAAGAAATAACATTACTAAAGGGCTGCTCTTCAATTATTTCCCCTGGACATGTTTCTTTGTTGTTAACCTAGCACTTGTCCGTTAGTCCAGACAAGTTCGTGTGTCCGCCTTTCTGTATGTCTGCCTGCTTGTACGTCTGCCTGCATGTTTGTCCGTCTGTCTGTTTCTATCTATATGTCCGTAAATAATATTCACGAGAAAGTGTCATATATCTTTGCGTTAAGTTTCTTTCTTTTTTTCTTTTTTCTTTTTTTCTTTCTTTCTTTCCTTTTTAATTCTCTTTTCGGGGAATGCTTTTGACTGTAAAGGAAAGCTTGTAACTGAATAGTATATATTTTATGAACAGATGAAATTATTATCAAGAACAGTAATTTTTTAAAAAGCACGCTCTGAGCTGTCAGCTCAAAATAAGACTTCAAACAAAAATATTTTGAAAAAAATGATGTTATTCCAACTCAAGAAACGAGCAACAAGGATACTGTAAACACTAAATTCCGCAAAAACAATAAGAATGATTTGGCTCGAGGCACTTCATCATTCCATCGCGCCATCGTCATTACACAAGAGCTTATTATAAGTCCTTGCTTTCTTAAAGTTTAGAGAAAATTAAAGAAAAATTGAGCACCGAAATGAGAATTTGGGCAGTCGTCATTTTTCTACAAATAGTTTAAAACAAGGAATGATATAACAAAGAAAAAGACCCCAACTTAATAATTACTTAGATTTTAAAAAGTGTATTGTAAAACAATGCTTTTATATGCAGATGGTCAAAAACTGGTTTTGCTGATTGTGGGAAAGTGATGACGATTTAAATATACAAAACATTCTGATTCAGTGTCGATTGCTTTTCAAACGTACACTATTTTGCTTCTAAGTAAATCTTCAAGAATAGCTAGTCGAAAAGTGTAAGACACTCAGATTCCTCTATAGTGAATTCATACCAGTTCCAATGACGAAAACGGTACACAAGGTGAGAAGAAAAAAATATCAATAAATGTAAAATTAGAAAGAATGGGAGTCACTTTTCTACAATTCATATTCACATGTCTTTTCTCAATTTCGTTTCACTTCTTGTTCTCTATTTCTGACTCTATAAACTTTACTGTCTTTTTAAGTGATCCAGTAGCATCTATTGATGGCCATTAAATACGACTCAAAGTAGTCTACAGCAAAAATACGAATAACTTTAAGCTTATTTAGTTGCTATGATAGTTATAAAAATTAGACTAGCAAACTCCTCTAACTGTGAGAAATCATCTGTTCAAATGAAACAAAAGTTAATTATTTAACAAGTAAAGGTGAAATTAATAGGAACTTCAGGGAACCCCACTTCTCTAAACTGCAGTTGATTGGACACAAAAAGAGATTGACTTGAGAAAGAAAAAAATAATAATATCGTGAACAGTGGTGACAAAATTACACGGGTTTGAAGTACGACGTCACATAGTAAGGAAGGAAATATAGGATTATTTAATAAGGAGAATTCAATTTTTAAAAATGCAACACTTGAGAATAAGCCAAATGGAAGGGGTGAAGATGGTGACAATACTCAAATATTGGATTCTTTCAGAGAAAGCATGCAGTATCTATGAGTAAGCGGATATGAAAAAATCACGGTTTCTTGTTCGCAATCAGAAATAATAATAATATGGCATACGAGAAGGCGTTGTAAGTTCTGTTAGTGGAGTATTTGTGGTGTTTTGTTTGTTTCGGAGTAGCGGATTTTGTACAGCGGAGACCACCAGCAATTAACAACCACACTGATATGTTACTTGTAGTAATCAATGTTTTGGCACGCACGTAGATAAATAAGCGGTTAATGAGCGAACAGTAATATTATGTAAGCTTAATCTCAAAGCAAATATGTGGTACCACGCGGTTAATCTTGCGAGAAGCTGAGAAAAACTGAATATTATATTCTAGTTAGAGAAAATCCTCAGCAAAATTTGAACTGATTTCCTACCGGTTCCCAGGCAAGTGGATACATTTCTTTGCTTTTCTATGTTTGTGGGGCCTGAAAAAAAAAGAGATCTAATGAGAAATACGTTCTCCTGCGCTGCAAGTATCACTGTGATTCCCTGGCAAGTAGAGACAATGTGGGCAGAAAGCTCAGACCTTGTCAAAACTAGTCCTTAGGTTCTATTCATAAACCATTTAGCTAAACAACTGTCCTTTAATTTTTTGTTTTTAAAAAAGCCTAACACGTTTATTGTGATTCAGAACAAAATAGTTATTATGATCGGAATAATGGGTGGAAAGGATAATAGATTAAAAACAACAACAAATTTACAAATTTCTCAAAATTGTTCTGGAAAACGGAGAATTCTTTTATTCTCAGACACAACTACTTATAAACTGAATTCATGTGCAAGCTCAACATTTGCCTGTCTCTCAAATTCCAAGATAAAAGAAATAGTCGAAAAAATAAGCCCAGGTGAACGAAATTAAAAATATCATCATAATTCGTAAACGTCATAAAACTACTGCGTATTGTCAAACAACAGCACCATGAATCTGTTCATATGCGTTGAGCTGCTTGTTAGTTTGTTGGTTTGTCTGTGTTAATTTTCAAGGGGGTGGGATGGACGTGGATATCAAAAACAACAACAAAAACAACAACTAAACGACAGTTATAAGAGATTTATCCTAAAACCCATCCCCTTTTAAAATTGGAACCTAATTTTTAAAAAACCTCGAACAAACAAAATAATAGCAACAAACAAACTAACAAACAAAAACCAATAATAATAACACCCAAAAAATCGACTCAATAAAGAAAGTGCATGTCATTTTTTAACTAATGAAGACAAGGTTGTGACAAATTTGAAATGGGGGTAAACACACGTAGCAAAACGAAACTTGTAATTATGCACACTAAAGTCAGATACTCCGAGAGGCTCGGTAAAAAAACCCCACACGAATGGCCACAAAGAGATAGGCGAAAAGGAAAGAAAACTTCTAAAACCACAGGTTTCATAAATGTCTTTTCCGTGAAGTTGTGGCTCTAAATTTGACAACAAGCTGAAACGTACTAGATCTAGTAAAACAAACACGACATAACCACTCAGTCCTTATCTACAAACAAATCTACGTTGCCTCATTAAGTATCAACTATCAGGAAATGTGAGAAGAATGAAAACCGAATACATGGTCTCTCTTTTTTTTTCTCCTTATCTCTTTCTTCCCTTTCTTCTGTCAGCTTTTCTTTTCTTAATTTTCCCCGCATTCCATCATCACCAACCGCTACTGATAATATAATAATAATAAATAATAATAAATAGCATTTGTATAGCACATACCCCAGCTCAACAGCAGGCTCTATGCGCTTTACACTATATTATTACCCCAGCAGACCATAGAACATTCCGTAACATTCTCAGCTTCCCTGGAAGCATACAGTGCAAGCAGCTGATTAAGCGCTCAAACACTAACAAACTGACAAGATCTTTCACTGTCTATAGCCGGGTACCCATTCCCACCTGGGTAGAGTGAGGAAAATTCGTGTAAAGTGCCTTACTCAAGGACACAACGTCGGGTCCCTGACGGGATTCGAACCCACGACCTTACGGTTGCGAGTTCGAGAGCCTAACCACTAGGCCATCGACCTATAATAAAACTGTCCACGTACCATACCATGTTATCTTCTAAAAAAAAAAAAAAGCAGTGGAGTAAGAACTAACGGAC